GAAATTTATTGTAGAGATGAGGTCTCTCTGCCCAGGCGGGTCTCGAACCCGCGGGCTCAGGCAATCCACTCACCTCAGCCTCCCAAAGGCGCGGGATTACAGGCTGAGCCACCGAGCCTGGCAAGTTATTTCTTTTTAGGATAGTAATGACCTCAGTTTTTGCAGTGGAGGTCCCCATTGCTATACCTCTTCCCAGCGTAGTTCCTGTGGACAATTAATTGCTGTCCAAGTAAAATCAGTCAGATTCTCCAGCTAGATTTTATTCAATCTTATTTTATCCAATGGTCCTAAATGTTTGAGTTTAAATATGTGTATTTGATATATACAAATAAAGTACAAATTCATGTAAATTAATGTCCAAAAGCCACATAAAGGATGTCTTCAAATTTATGAGGAAAAATTCTTATGGGTATCATGTGAATATATGATTCTATTTTCCTAGATATGACTGGTTCTTACAGTAGACAATAAACAAAGAAGACAAATTAGTTAGGGATAGTCTCTTTTCCTGCTCAACAGCAACTACTCTGGTTAGACTAGTCTGTCCACACTAAAACATGTCACTGCTGACATCAAGAAGTAAAGAAGAGAGGACAAGGCATAGAGAAAGGATAGCTAGTTTGGTTCAATTTCACAAGTATGTATGAGCACATGCAGATAGATTATTTTAACATGACTCTTATCTATATCTTTACATATAAATATATCTATAAATATACATTTTTTGAGTCAGAGTCTCCCTCTGTTGCCCAGGCTGGAGTGCAGTGGCACGGTCATGGTCACCACAGCCTTGACCTGCTGGGCTCAGGCAATCCCTAGTGTCCAGCACAGTGTCTGAAAATAGAAGAAATACATATATATTGAAAGAATGAATGAATGAGTGATTCTGTCAGGCACTAAGATAGGTAAGCAGAGATACAAAAAAAAAAAAAAGACTACAAAATGACACCAGTATTCAAGGAATTTAAAATATTAAAGAGTAAAACAAAAAGATAAAAAAAAAACAAAAAAATTTAGTTAAAAAATATAGAAGTAAGAAGTAGGATATATTTTAGTATATTCTGGAGTCATTTAAAGTGATGTCAATAGCCTGGCATAGTGGCTCATGCCTGTAATCCCAGCACTTTGAGAGGCTGAGGCGAGAGGATTGACTGAGCCCACAGGTTCGAGATCAGCCTGGGCAATATGGCGAGACCTCGTCTTTACAATAAATCAAAAAAATTAGCCAGGCATGGTGGTGCACACCTGTAGTTTCAGCTATTTGGAAGGCTGAGGTGGAAGATTGCCTGAGCCCAGCAGGTTGAGGCTGCGGTGGCCATGAGCATGCCACCGCACTCCAGCCTGGGTGACAGAGTGAGATTCCAATTCAAAAAAAAAAGTGATATAAAAAACAGTGATTAGATTGATGTGGATCTTCAAAAATCATGTAAAGTTTGTCTCCCACCATATTTTCCTGTAATGAATTACTGATAGGTGTGGTGGTTTTCAAATAGGTACACAAATTCTTTGATATGTTCTGCTTCTAGAAGTAGAGCAAATTCCCCTCCTTTCTGCATCTAGAAATTCCCTTCCCCTGAATCTAGTGACTTGCTCCTGACAAATTTAATGGTGTATCACCACTGAGACTAGGTCATAAGGGCATGGAGCCTTTTTACTCTCTCTTGGATCACTCCTTCTGGGGGAAGTTAGTTATCGTGTCATGAGGACACATCAGCAGATCTGTGGAGAGACTTCCATGGCAAGGGACGGCCATCAAGGAACTAAGTCTTTCTGCCAGCAGCCATGAGAGATTTGTCTTGGCAGCAGACCCTCTAGCCCTAGGCAAGCCTTCAGATGGCTGCAGTCATAGTATTGACTGCAACATCATGAGAGACTGAGTCACACAACCCAGTTCAGCTGCTTCTGAATGGAAACAGTAAGGTGAAGCAGTAAGATGTTGAGGGAGGAATAGAATTTAGAGTTTCTAGGCTTCGGGAAAATACTCTTCTTTTAATAAAATAATGCATATAGTTTTTTTTTTTAAAGAAAGTACTGCAAAGATTAGCTTGAAAAAGAGGAGTCCACTGCCCCACTTTTCTCTAACCCTGAGTCTCATTTCCCCAAGTTTTAATGTTTCTTCTATATTTACCTTCATATCTCTAAATAATATTATTAGGATGCTATTTCTTGATATATAGATTTTAGAGTTTATCTTTTGATTTCCTAATTAAGAAGATAAAGATTTATCAACCTTATATCACTTTGGACTCTCACTTTCCCTTCTTCCATCCTTCATACATACAATGTATGCAAATTTTGGTTAAATCACTAATATTTGTGTCATTAAGGGGCTATGTGTGTCAAGCAATACACTATAATTGCATCTGCTTTATTATAAAACCAGTTTTGAACTTCCTGGAATTAAAAGCCTCATTTTTTTAAGTGTGCTGACTTAAAAAAAAATCACTGATGTTTCTCAGCTTTTCAATAGTTGTAAACTTTCTCTGTTGAGCGTTTTTCAGAACATCACATCAGGGACTCCTCCAGTTCTTTTTTTTTTCCTTAACACTCCTTCTGCTCTAATGTGGGTGCTCTATGTCTGTTGCTGTCTTCTTAGAGCCTCCCTGACTTCCCACTTATATGCTGTTTACTTTTTCCCTGATACCCAAATCTCCTCTTTTTTGTTTACTCCTTTGTTGGGCTGGATTGCATCCTCTTTGTAATTTTCTAAGAAACACTTTAAAGATGTACATTATTTGAGACCTTGAATAGTCAAAATGCCTTGATTCTTTGCTTACCCTTGATGAATAGTTTGGCTGGTTATAGAATTCTCAGAATTTTGAAGGCCTTGCTCCATTGTCCTATAGTTTCCAGGACTTGCATAGCGACCTTCTGACTCTGAGTTCTTTCTAGGGAAAAAGGTTTTTTGTTTTTCTTTCTTAAGTTTTATCTCTGTTAGGAGTATTTTCCACCCACTGAACTGGGTACTCTGGGGACCCTACAGTCTAGGAAGTCATCCTTCAATTTTGGTTTTCTTGAATAACTTCTAAGCTTATTTCTTCTTTTCTGTTTTCATGACTTCTCATAGTAGTACTCTCATTAGTCGAAGTCTGTTCTTTTTAATCTTTTAATTAATTTTTCCATCTCTTCCCATCTATTTCTTTTTGCCTTTATAGTCCACCATCTAGAAGAGGTCTTTCAGGTTTCATATAATGTGCCTATTGAAATGTTTTATTTTGGTTTTATATATGTAGTTTCTAAGAGCTCTGTTTAGTCCTCTATCACCCAGGCTGGAGTGCAGTGGCATGCTCACAACTGCTGTAGCCTCTACCTACTGGGCTCAGGCGATCCTTCCACCTCAGCCTTCTAAGTAGCTGGAACTACAGGTGCACGCCACCATGCCCAGTTAATTGTAGAGACAAGTTCTTGCTATGTTGCACAGGTTGGTTTTGAACACCTGGGCTCAGTCAATCCTCTCAACTCCACCTCCCAAAGTGCTGGGATGACAGGCATGAGCCACAGCACCTGGCCTTGTTTATTCCATTTTATAGAATCCTGTTCTTATGTCTTTGAGAATATTGATTATAGCTTTTGGTTCATTTTTCTTTTTTCCCCCCCTTTGTTCTCAAAGTTCCTTTTTCCTGCTTGTCTTAGCCTGTTTCATGCTGGGAACTTTCCTTAAGAATCTGCTACTTTCCTTAATAATCTGCTGCTCTCCTTAAGATTGCTGAATCTTGGTTTTCTGATCATAGAGTACATGAGGCGCTAAGAA